TATGTTAAAGTAGACTCACAGGATCCTGGTGGTCAGGCTAAGATTTAAGATTGCCTTTTGCCCCTAGCAAAGTGTCAATATCGAGGCAGCAGAGTCCCTAGAGGAAGGTCCTTCAGCCTGTTTCAAGGACTTGTCAATGGGCTGTAGGCAGTAAGGAAATTTAATTTTTTCTTTTTTTTCTTTTTTATTTATTTGCCAGAGAGAGAGAGAGCGTGCGCACAAGCAGGGGGCGCGGCAGGCAGAGGGAGAAGTAGGCTCCCTGCTGAGCAGGGACCCCCCCCTCCCCCCCACGATGTGGGGCTCGATCCCAGGACCCTGGGACCATGACCTGAGCCGAAGGCAGACACTTAACCGACTGAGCCACCCAGGCATCCCTAATTTTTCTCTTGCCTCTGTTTTCCACATCAGAAGGAGTAGACGTTTGACAAACTTGATTGATAGCCTCGTGACCTTGATAAGGATATGTATGTAGATTATTGTGCATGCTCATGTGTTCATCCCATTCTTGATGAATTCCCAGTTGACTGAACAATCACAGCCATGTAACATAGAGTAGTGACTCAATTTCTGGCATGTGGTAGGTGCTTAATGAACCTTGGTTGAATGGATGAATGAATGAACGAATGAATGAACAAACAAACCAGTCAGCGGACGAGGATGATGTCCATAGTGGCCTACACAAGAATCTCTCACCATGGTCTTGTTATGTTCAACACTTCCATCAATTATTTGGATCACAGGCATATGAGAAACATAAGGCAAATTTATAGGAGCCTGTGAAGTTGTGATTTATTATAAGAAATCTATATTTGGTCTTCACTTCTGGCACAGAGCTTCTGAAGCCCTTGGAATTTCCTGTAATGGAGAGCCACACAGGTGTCTTTTTTTGTGTTAATGAGGTGACTGACTTCTCCAAGCTACGGTTGGGGGTTTGCTACCATAAAGCCAACTTGAACTTTCAGTCCCCATCCCACTGCCCACCCCCCACCTCTGGCTAGTGATTTAATCAATTGTGCCTCTGTCATGAAGCTTCCATAAAACCCCAAAAGGACAGGGTTCAGTGAACACATGGAGATTTGGGGACAGTCCCGTGCTGGGAGAGGGCTTGGAAGCTTCCCGCCTTTCCCCATACCTTGTCCTGTGCATCTCTTCATTTAGCTTTTGATTTGTGTCCTTTTGTATTGTTTATAATAAGCCCATAATCTAGTAGGTAAAATGTCCCTCTAAGTTCCAGAAGCTGCTCTAGCAAATTAAATGAATCCAAGAAGGAAGCGGGTCGTTGGAGCCTCTGATCTATAGCTGGTCAGTGGGAAGCACAGGTGACAACCAGACTTGGAATTGGCATCTGAATTTTCGGGGGGCGGATGGCGGGGGTGGGGCAGTCTCTCGGGACCGAGCCCTTAACATGTGGGACCCGATGCTGCCCCTGGGTAGCGAGTGTCGGAATTGAGTTGAAGTGTAGGATGTCCCGCTGGTGTGGGAGAGCTGCTTGCTGGTGTGGGGACCCCACACCCGAGTGCGCACGTGGTGGAACTGCCGGCCAGAACTGTTCGTAACAATAAACCTGGGAAGATGGTCATGGACTAGATCGTAGGAGAAAAATGAAAATTCTCTCGACTAGTTGGAAACCGGACCAAGAGGGGTAGGCACAGGCCTGAGCCCCAGGTATGAGACGACAGTGTCCCCCGGGCCCCTGGAGCATCCTATTCGGAGAGCAAGGATGGTGGAGAAGCCCCAGGTGCCTTGCTCCTCCCCTGCCATCACTCGACCCAGACTCTTCTGGAAGTTCCAGTGACTGGTGGTAAAGATACTTTCTGCTTGTTGGTCCTCATCCTCTTTGCCCCTTCTACAGTATTGGATGACATCTGACACTCTATGCCCTTTGTGGACCCTCTTCTACTTCTCTCCTTCCACTTTGGCCTCGTTCCTCTGCTTCTCTCATTTTTCCTCCTTACCCTCTTTGACCCTCCCTTTCACGGTTTCCCTTTCCCTTTATATTTAAGAGACCGTGTTCCTTAAATTCTAATCTGTGTGTTTTTAGTCTGTGTCTCTCCCCAGTCATTGGTTCACCATTCATTTAAAATATACTTGTGGAGGACCATCTGTGTGTGTGTGGGGGGGGGGGGTCCGTGACCATGTCCTCACCCATCCACGCTGGAAACCCCAGACTGCCTTCCGTGTCCTCCTCTTTTTCCACCCCCAGGTGCACGTGTCCAGTGGGAGGTCACCGGGGATTCCCCCCACTGCCCGGGCCAGAGCTCAGCCCTCAGAGTGGCTTGTTTGCCAGCCTCATGACCAACACGATGACCTTTGTAAAGCACAGATCAGATCCGTTCTAGTGCCTTCCCTCCCCCGCTCCCCTGCCTCTGGGATCAGCAGGGTGTTCACCCTACCTGATTCCCAGCCTACGGCCCCGGCCACCTGCCTTCCTTTCCCTCCCCCACTCCCCACCCCCAACACACACACACCCTGTGCTCTGGACCCTCTGTCAGAAAAATCGCCTCCCCAACACCCTGACAGTACCGTTTTCCTGTCTGTGTGCTTTCTGATGTTGCCAGGGATGCTCTCTCCCTTCCCTGTTCTACCTTTCCGTTCTCTACCCTTCCCTGCTCTTATCCACCCTGCTCTGCCCTGTCCTTTCCTACTCTTGTCCTTCTCCACCCTTCCCTACCCTCTCCTACCTGGCGGTTCCCAACCATACAGCAGTAGCCAGCTCAGCTCAGCTCTGAGCTGTCCCCACATTCTCTTTCTCTCTTCTCACCTTCTTTGTTGTGATACTAGAGGGCTTGCAGCCGGTAGGGTCGCCCTGGTTTAGGAGGGTTCTCTGGGGCCCATCAGTCTATGGGTGACTCGGAGACGGGCACCGTCTCTTGTGAAGTCTTGTGCTTCTTGTAGATGTTAGCACTTGGAAGGTGATTCCATGCATGCTTATGGAACTGGCTGGAATTCTGCAGAAGACGTGCAAATGGTGAACCCTGTGAAACTACTCTTCTTAGTCAATGTTAGCAATTTTGTGTGGTTTGATCTAATATGCCCATTTTGTGTGTTTGCTATTCCTGTTTTGGCTTTCAGAAGTATTCTTCCCTTCAGTCGGACTGACTTAACTCCAGGGTCTCCAAGAATATTTTTCACCTTTATGAGCCATCTCCCATCCTGCTCATTATACGTATCTGATTGTTCTGGTCAAACATGGAGGCATACCCCAGAAATGTTATAAATGTATACTCTTCTTTCTTGCTGTTAACAATTTTTCTATCATGCTTTTTCCAACTCAGACGGTTTTTCATAAACATCAGTGAGATTTTGAGGCTGTTGGTAAAGGTAACTTTAAGAATTGTCCTACGTTATCAGCCTCATGAAAAGAACATGGTGACGTTATGAACAAGGCAGAAATGGTGACTTGCTCATTTGCATAGAGTTCTTCAAGGGGAACGTAGATCAAGGTATCACCCGGAGAATTTGTGAATATTTTGTCCAATGGTTTTGATTTCTAAGACTGTGATACAGAACCAGAGTTGTCCTTAAATTGAAAAAGTCTTCCATGTTAAATGTAGAACCTCTTCCGTATTCTGCCTTCCCACTTGAACAACATCTAACAATAATATTAAGTAAAAGCCAAAAAAGTATTCTGTTCTGCCAGGTGTATAACTGAGTGGTTTTGCTAGACACTTTTAAAACAAAACCAATAGCATAGCTAGTCATGATTGTCCCTTTTGGTGCTGGATTGAATTTTTAAAAAATTTTGTTCTGGACACATCATCAGGTTTTCCCATGGACGTAGTTAGATCACAAATGAATCTCTTTCTGACTGTCTGAAGTTTTAAGCTGCCATGCTCCTCACTGATCCCGCCAGGAGACAGGAAAATTGGCCAGGACCATCAGTTAAAGGAATAGTTGATTGTGGGTGTGGACTCCTAGGAGGATGGCTCAAGGGAAAAATGAGAAGTAAAATCAGAAGAAAATGTTGGAACAGGCTAAACGAGTTTTCAAAATCTTTTCTGGCTTACCAGGAGCCAGAGGTATTGAATGTAGAAGGTTTGGGGGATTATCTCAACTGAGGCATTAAAAGATCAGGTTGTTGGAGGATTTTGATTCAGGATCTTGCACCTTTTTTTTTTTTTTTTTTTTGGAAGTGTTGAGCAACAAAGCGTCAGAGATTTTTTGGAAGAGATTTTTTAGGAGAGGGTGGTCTCTAACTTGTCTTAATGTTTGCTTCTGAGGTGGGTGCTCAACCCAACCAACTGGAAGGCTGTTACCTGTCAGAGAACCCTTCACCCTGTGGTTTTCAGTATTCATCCCTGTAGTTGACTTGAGTTTCTATAAATATCTTTAATAGAGACAGTGAAGGTAAGTGGGTCAACCAAATGCTTAAATCATGGTACAGAAACCAGTGATGCTTGGAAACATACAGCTCATGACCAAGATAAAGGCTTTTCTATGCTTGGATGGGTTGAGAACTGTGGTCCCATAGTATCTGGATAGGCATGAAGGCTCGTGAAACCAGCAGTCAGTCATTATCGGTACAATAATAGCCTTTATGCTGAACATTTAGACTGCTCTTGAAAACACCCTTTTGACTTTGAGGGAGAGGTTCTAATGAATAAAAGCTCTATATAGAAATAATCATGTCCAGTAAGAAAAACCATTCTATTTTCATTTTCACTCCAAGAAGTCACCAAAATGTCAGCTAGATACACTTGTCGCATGTTATGCTTACTTTTAAATATGGAGGGATACCTTTTTATGAATTGGGCTTGAGCTCAAGGGTTTCTCTTTCTGTCACATGTGTTAGTTGTACACAGGGAATGGGTTATAATTCTAATGCCAAATTTTATATAGCTATTGTTAAATCCATGCTCTGCGTTTTCTTCCCTCTTAGGTATTTTTTTCCTCCTCTAATATACATCTTATGATACATATCTTATATATATATATATATATATATATATATTATATATTTTAAATGTAGCCAGCTACTAGAGATTGCGTGAAAGTCCAATACTAAAGAAAGTGAATAAAACAGAGGCCATGGGCTGGTCCTCTGCCTATATTCTGCCAGGGTCAGGTAAATGAACTTCAGTCAGCCTGTGATGCCCCATGAAGGGGTCCCCCCGGGAAGGAAGGAGTTTGCAGGGGTGGAAGCCCAGCGTTCAGCGGAGAGAACTGACATCCCGACCCGCTGAGTCACGTGGTGGGAGGGGGCTCTGTCTCTCTCTCCCCCTTCTCCTCCATATCCCGTCCTCTGATGTCACAAGTCTGTTCTTCCCTGGGAGAGCTGATTAGCATTCAGTGGGTGCAGTTGGCCAGGAGCGAGCGGCGCGGGGGCCGGCGGGCGGGGGCGCGGCTGTCCCCCGGGAGCCGCAGTGGGACGGGGCACAGGATGGCCGTGTTCTAACTGGGATCCTCGCTGACGTGTGGCCGCCGGCTCCTTGGCAGCTGTCTTTTTGGACCAGTGGGCAGAGGGGAAACTGACGCTGACGAGCCTTTTGCATCTTGGAAGGGACTGCAATCTACTGTAGTGAAGAACAGAACCTCTCAATCACGCGGTGTAAATAAGAGACGGAGGGGAGTCCAAAAGAAAAGGAAGAGGAGGGGAAAAGTGTGTGTTGGGGGAGCGGGGAAAAGCATTTTTGGTGGATGGTATGAAGCCAGCCATGGAAACTGCAGCCGAGGAAAATACTGAACAAAGCCAAGAGAGAAAAGGTACCCGGCACTCTGACAATAGCCTGTTTCAAGCTTTTCACTGGGGGGTGCTTTCAAAGGGGGAGCCCGGTTTTGTGTGTCTCGTAAAATAGCTCTGAAACAATCCCTCTGGCAGGGTCGTGCTTTCAGGGTGGTTTTTGCCTGTAGGCTGATGTTAAATTAATAGAGCAGCCTTTCTTCGGCCCATTCCTGTTCCAAATCTTCCCACCAAATGTGGGATTTCCCAGGATGTCCGCAGTTTGTCACCTTGGGTAGCGGAATTGGGGAAACGGTCTTTTTTTTTTTTTTTCCCTCGTTAATATAATGAGTCATGACTTAGGTCCCCACGTTCTGCATGTTATACTCCAGGGGCATGGAATGCATTGTTTTCTGCTGATGCTGGGGAGGATCTGGAGGGGGCCGCAAACTAAATATGCTTTGGTTCCGCTAATGCCGTAGTGATGTTGGACGTTTTCTAGTTAGTTCTCTCATTGAAAACGATAGTAGTCTTTCCATGTATCAGGCCCTGACTGTGACATGTAATAACCATTTACAGTGGGAGCTTCAGAGAGGGGACGTCAGCTCTGTCACCCTGGTGCTGATGGAGAGGGGTGGAGGGTCCCCTGCCATTTATGACTTGGAGATTTGGAGGAGGAGAATTGGTAAAGGTCCTGTCCCTAAAGGGGAATCTTACCACAATGTTGACATAGGGAATGGCCTTTTTAGAGAAATACGTGTTTTGCAGTAAGAAAATGACCGAAAGTAGAAGCTAAAATTCATCTGTCTTTTCCTAGATAAAAACCGGTCTTGAGTGCGATAGCCCGTAGAATCCGCTCAGCCACTGTTAAATTACAGTGGGAGACGCCGCTCACCTGTCTCCCTCGCCCAAAGTTACAGACTATCCTAAAGGCGCAGGAACATAGTCTACAACTCCCTTTTACTTAGGAAGATGTTGGTTGAACTGTCGGAAATTGCTGAAGTAGTCAACCATCTTACACCTACAAACATGGCAATTTCATGTATTTGAGCCTAACAGCAGGCTTGGGTAGAAGCTGCTTGTTTTTATACGGAATTTCTTCTGTACACAGTACTTTAATAAGATTGTATCCTAAGCAGTGCAATTTCATTTTTCCAGTTAATTAAATGTCAAAGTCTGATAAAATCTGCGTAACAAATTTGCCATTTTAACCATTTTGAAGTGTATATTTTGGTGGCCTTAAGTATTTTAATTTTAAAATTGGCAGTTTAATTCAATCCCCGCATGAAACCTACCTCGCCACCCCCCCCAGCAAAACAAAACAGAAACCTTGCCTTTTCTTGTATGTATATATTTTTAATTTTATTTTAATTTTATTTTTTTTAAAGATTTTATTTATTTATTTGACAGAGAGAGACACAGCGAGAGAGGGAACACAAGCAGGGGGAGTGGGAGAGGGAGAAGCAGGCTACCTGCTGAGCAGGGAGCCCGATGCGGGGCTCGATCCCAGGACCCTGGGATCATGACCTGAGCCGAAGGCAGACACTTAACGACTGAGCCACCCAGGCACCCGTATATTTTTAATTTTATATGAGTGACCAAATAGCAATAAGAGAAGCTTTGGGGAGTCTTTATGAAGCTGAGGAATGGAGATAAAAGTAAAGATTGATTTCTGCGATGATTAGAGATGAAGTTTGTGAGGCGTAATCATGTAATAGCGTTTTTGGGGGGACGCCTCTCACAGTTCACCGCAATGTTTTCCCAAAACAGATGATTTCATTTAGTGCCCACTTTAATACCATATTAATAGCAAACATGTTAATGGTATTCTGGCAAATACCATATTAATAAACCAAAGTAACCATTGATAAACCATTAATAAAACTATCTTGGTCTCTGCAGAAAACATACCTTTTTTTTTTTTTCCCTCTCCAAAAGCAAGTGAGGGGCATAAAGCCAGTATAAATTCCTTATACTGCCCAGCTCTCTATCTCATCCTCGTTTAGTCTTATGGACTGCTATGATTTTACATCAACTAAATCCTCTTTAACACCGAATCCACAAGCTATGCTACATCTATTGACCATCTGTAGGCAAAAACTCGTTAGTGAGTTAGCCATGGTTTCAGAGACAAAATTAGAAGCAAGAGATGATGCCTGGAGGAACTTTAAAAATTGCCAACATTGATAGACACTAGCTGTTGAGGTAATTCAAACATGCCAGGTGAATGCAAGCTGTTGTCCAGTGTAGGGTTCAGGCGTGAGTCAGCATCTGGGCCCGGGCGAGGATGACTTATCTGCTAATCTTCGTGTAGCCGAACAAGTTCACGGGCCGGCTGCACCCAAGTCATTGTCAGTCTAGACACACACGGGTGCGCGCGCGCGCGCGCACACACACACACACACACACACACACACACACACACAGAGGCATGCAGTGACAGTCACAGATGTTTCTGCCTGCTTGTCACTCCAGTATTCCTTCCGATTTCATTTGAAATTTATAAGATAAGGGTTGATTTCCTTGAAGTGTACGTTTGAAATTTTGACATCATTGGAGAAGGCATGATATAATTCTCGAGTTGGTGGATCTGTTTATTTGTGAGTGTGTTTTTCTTTTAAGCCTTTCAGCAAGGGATTTAATTTCCGAAATTTAATCCTATCCATTTTGTCACTTCCCACAGTTTTTCACACACGTCTATTTTTTGCCCCTCTGTTCCCCCTTTCCCATTGGTTTTTAGTACTTGGTGCTGGGGCCATACCTACCTCTTAATTTGGGGGTATTATTGCCCAGTGGGAATTCTAGCTTTGGCTAATTACTACCTTGGAGAATTATTTGGATTAATATTAAGAATAGAAATTAAACTTAGCTTTATAAATTGACTTCAACTTTTTTAGTTGGCCTCCCTTCCTTCGGCAGGACAAAGAGAGCTATTTCTTTAAATCAGGAGGACTTTGTTCCTAATTTAAACAAAAATAATCCAGATCCTAAAAGAAAATACATATGTATATGTGCATGTGTGTGTGTTTGAAACTGCCTCATGGCTTTTGCCCCAGAACACTACTAGATGGTCAAAATTCCCCAGAAGTATTGAGTAGATACCCAGAAATGTTTAAGGAAAGCAAGCCGGTCTTCTCAGATGACTGTAAGAAATGCCAAGTCATTACAAATAACGGTTTTTACATTAGAAGCATTAAATGGAATCGAAGTGTAAGGATTGAGTAAACAGATTCACTGAAATGGAATAAGTGGAAGGAATGAATAAGACAGAGTCAAAGGATCATGGGCCTCACTAATCAAGAGATGGAGAGCTAGGTTTCTACTTATTTCTGTGGAGTATTACTTGATGTCAATTCATTTGTGAAAACCAGTGCATCTGGAAGTGCTGGGAGTGCTCAGTTAAGGGGTGGAAAAACAATTGACTCAATCGCTGTATTGTGTGAAAAAAATCTGTGATGCTAATTATTTTTATTACATGTAGGAAATTGGAATCTACTGAAACAATTATTGCCGAGCTAGTTAAGTGCCTAGAATTACTGCTGAAATAATTTTGAGAGTTCAGGCATCAAACCACATAGGAAGAAAAATGTAGTAAATTGGAAATAAATTCTAGGACGTAAGCACCATAAGAAATGAATTCAGATTGTTGACCTGTGTAAAAAATTAACACATTCATTTAAGTTTTTGGATCAAATATAATGTCTTACATGTTTAGGTTTGGTTTGGTTTGTTTTAATTTAAATGCGTATACTTTGGGCCCTATCTGATTTTTTTTTTTTTTAGGAAGAAAACTCTTGTAGAATATATGACCTGTGAGCTAAAAAGCCTGAGGGACACATTTAACATGTTATACTCTTCCTGGTGATGTAGAAATGATTTGATTTTGAGATTTTTATTGACAATTTCTAACTTGATTATGTGAATATGGTACAGAGAAAGTTTTAGATGCAGTTTTTCCCTCTAAGAGTCTGCCACCCTCTGAAGAGAGGGTGTCTGGGGAATAGGCTGTAGGGAAAGGCATGGCGGACCAGATGGTGCTGGATGTATGTGGTAGGTATAATACAGCTTGCTTTTACCTTGTTTTATTTCCTTTTTTAGAAAGTTAAGGATGGAGATCTCAATGAGCCATTTAGTGCATCTCCTACTTTTATATTGTTTCCATTAGTGTATTTTTCAAGACTTGGCCTGGCTGTTTCATTAGACAAAGAATTCCGACCCATTTCTGGAAATTCAGAATTGCCTTCCGTGAAATTGGGTGGAAACCTCGAGTTCAGATTGTCATGTTACAAATCGCATTTTTCTGTGACTTGAAACTACGAGTCGATTTAGAGTAAGTCATCTTAATGACATGACTTGGGAGCCTTGTTGTATCTGAGAACGTGTGAAATAGCCAGTTAGCATCCCCACGAAGTAAATTTCCCCTCACTGGGACTTGGTGATGAATTGGATCGTTCCAGCGACACGCTCTTGCTTTTTTCCTCCTTGGGACCAAATGTACAGCCCTGTGAGAATGGCCGGCCCAGAATAGGGGTGGCTGTGGGACGGAGGAGCACGGCGACACACACTCGCTTGTAAGAAAGAGAGGCTCCGGTCTCAGCTGCACGAGTGTACCTGGTTGTTCATTCATTCATTTAATAATCCTCTCCTTTGAAACATCGTCCATCCTCTATCCTCCCAGCACATGGGAGAGGAGTACAGGGGCGCTTAACTCATCTTAGGGACCATTATGGATATAGCAGGATCTTGGTTTTAGGCATAATTTTGCCATCTCGGTGGCAGATTAAATAGCAGGACGACAGTAGCAGAGGGGAGAACTTTCCTCCTCAGCCAGCCCGGGGACCTGTCTCTTCCAGACACGTGTAAAAAGAGAAAATAAACTAGCTTTCTCTTTTGGAGGCTGATTTGATTAATTGCGTTGACTTCTTTCTGTATCCAAGCCTTACTAGGCACGTTCGGTAGCCAGGGTCAGCCCGCTTCATCCATGAAGGGCCAGAGAGTAAATATTTTAGGCTTTGTAGGCCACGCAGTCTCTGTTGTAGCTACTCAAATCTACAGCTGTAGCATGAAACAGCCGTGGCTAGTATATAAACCAATAAATGTGGCCAAGTGCCGATACAACTTTATTGACAAGAATGGGTGGCCGTCGCTTGCTGACCTCTGCCTGGTGTTGTTAGAGCTTTCCCTTAATATTTGAAATGATACCTCAGAATGAAGGACGATAGACCCAGCTTTCAAAGACCTTGCCTAGGGAGTGTGGTCTTTCGAAGGAAGCTCAGTCTTTGTCACTTAGTTGCCTCCGGTCTGCAGTTCAGTTACTCCATAGCCTTGTCACAGGAGGACATCACACTGTCTAAGTAACTGGACCGAAAAGGTACAAGGCATTGCTTTGTTTTCCTTTCCTCAATTCCCCGTTGTTTGTTTCGTACCCACCTTTGGTGAGGACCACCCACGGTTGTGACTGTCACCATCAGCCACCACCGCTCCCTAAGGGGAACATTTGCAGTCTTCCCTCGGTAGGGCCTCAGCCAGGACCTTCCTGGCTGTGTGTGTCCATTTTTCCCATTTTTTTGCCAGTTGCCCAGCATCGTGGCAGTGTTTTAATTAGACCATTCACGCTGAGGCTTCTCCTTGCAATCCTGTGACTCCCTCCTAACTGTTGGGACCCTGTCCTTTTAAACAAAAATGATACCGCTGTGCTCTTTGAAATGTTGGCATTAGTTTTATATTTCATGTCTCCGAGATTTGGCTCCAAAATAGAAAACAGACATGATTTTCTTTTCTTTCATGTCTAAAGATTTACTGTTGTAAAAAGGCCTTCCCAGAAGTATTGGAAAATAGCCATCCACTTGCTGACCCCATCTCCACATCTGCTGGAGTAGGAGTATTTTTACGCTGAACTAAGCATGTCTGGCATGGCCGCCATGTTTTGGTCAGAAAATACAGCAGCTTTGGGCAGTCCATGGTTTTTTATTGTCCTTGCCTAGCAGCCTGTGCCTGATTGCCTGTCTGTAGACTTCCCCATGCATGAGGAGATGAGAACAGAGAATGGATGTATCCTGGGCAGAGATGCAGGGAATTGCATGGCCTGGCTTGGGTGAGGTCAGTGTGGTGGGGGACCTGGAGGTTCGTTTCTTGGTCCGCAGGGTCCCCGGGCGCTACCTTGCCTTCAACCAGATATTCTTCCAGCAGACATTTATGGGGCACCTGCTGTGCTCTGGGCATGGAGAGAGAGAGGTTTTTTTAGAGGACGATGAGAAATTTCCAGATCCACAGTGCTCGAGCTCCTTGCAGTGCTCTTGCCGGAGGTTGATGTGGAGGGCTCACAGCCACTTAACCCTGCTTCTGGTTCTTTCCACCAGCCCCACTGGGTGTCTTGGCTCTCAGACAACGTAGCACAACCCACATCTGAGAGAGCATCTCCTGAGCAGTGAAGCAAAAATCTAAATCCAGGGACAGTTGAGAGTTAAGTCCTTTCCAGAACCCCGAAGTAACCGCAAGAGCTTGGGACCTGAGACCTTTCTTGAGGCACAGAGGTACAGCTCACCTCCCCACTGACCTCAGCAAAGCTCTTGTCGGGCGAACCACCGCCTCAGCGAAGGACGAGAAACTCGTAGTGGATGCGCGGGCCGCAGTGGGCCGGGCTGGTGGTTTCGGAGGCCTGCCCTCTGGAGTCCCGTGGCCCAGGTTCGGACCCAGGCTCGTCCTCCCCTGGCTGCCTGCTGTCGTGGGCAGGCGACCTCCCTTCTCCTTGCCCTTGCTCTCCCCATCTGGAAAGCTAGAACGCTGAGAGCACCGAGCGCACAGCATGGCTGTGGCCGACACCGTGACCTTGCACTATCGAGGTGACGGGGGCAGCGTCCCGGGCGCTCGGCCATCGGGGCTGCCCGCCGCTCTACTGGCGACGAGGCGGCTGCGAGGAGTGCCCTGCGCAGGTCCGATCTTGCCCTAGCCCCCTTTTCTCCCCTTCTAAGCATCTTTAAACGTTTTTGCATGTCTTTTAAGAGGCAGTTTTGCTTCCCCTGGACGCCATAAAGGCTTTCTCCGAAACACCACCTAGAAAAGTCTCCACTGGCCAGTGGGGCAGGACCTCGGGAGGTGTCGGGGACCGCGCGCTGCCGGCGGGTTCCGTGGAGGCTCTGTGAGCTTCTCCGCGGCCCTGGTCACGCGTTCACCCTGTCGCCCCGCGGCGTGGCTGTTGGCTCAAGCCTCCCCCTCGGCGGTCCCGGGCGCCCCGTGGAGCGCGCTGACCTGGTCTGCTGATGGAGTCACGGCCCACACCAACGTCAGAACCACCTTTTCTCCTGCAATACTTGTGGCCCCCCCCCCCAGGGCCTAACCCCTTGTGCGGTTCTGTGTGATTCGCAGGCACAAACTGGCCGTAGTTGACCTTTGAGCTCTTAGGGATTTTAAGACTGTGGCTGCGCTCAGTTCCCAGCAGCCGTCTCTGGGTCAGGCACACTGCTAGATAAGTATCTTTCCCACCGGTCCCTTAAGAAGTGGGAAAGAGAGTCCTGCTGTCAGCTAGGGACCCGAGTCCCCAGGAGGCCTCTCGTCAGCATGTGTGTGAGGAAGCAGTGGTTGGAGCCCAAGACCGGCAGCCCTTTCTCTCTAGAACACCGGGAGGTCATTGGAACGGGATTTAATCCAGAACATTCTAGACTCCGAAGTACTGAGCTTAAGAAGAGCTGACAGAGAATACTGCAGATGTCAGTGGGAGGACAGGAGTTTTACCCGAGATTCAGCAGGCCATGGGGTCACTGGCCAGGTTTTCAAGGCCGCAGCTGGGTACCGTCACGGAGGGTAAGCCTGTAGTCCCTCTTGTTCGTGTGGCCACAGTGAATGTGGCGCTCTGTTGGTCCGAAAGGGAAATGCCCAGAAAGAACAGCAGTCTTGGGAGAAGCCGGACTTCCACTGTAAATGGTGTCTGCCCAAAGCGAGCGTTCTGAGGGGCGGGGTGGGGGGACATCACGGTGACAGTAAGGAAGGAAAAGGCGATTTGGGTGAGTTTCGTCAACGTCAAGAACGGAGGAGACTCCAGCGTTCTCCATTCATCCTGCCTCGGTCATCAGCCGGTACGGAAAGGTTGTGGTTTCAGTCACGTGTTTTTTAAACTCCTCGTTTCCTTTAACTATATGGTAAAAGAATAAATGCTGATATAGAATCTTTGCTGGAGATAGAGACACTGACTCTTTGCCACCTGAAATTGGCAGTGAACAGCAGAGCTGAAATGGAAATTGGCAGGTACCACTGGATGTACCCAGGCTCAAAGAACCACCAGTACCATCCCGTGCCAACCCTGGGGGACAGGGCTAGCCCCTTGAGCAGTCCAGGTAAATACAGCCTCGGGCTGAATTCTAATAGCAAGTCAACTGTTATCTTTAATATTATTTGTAATGGCTCTTTCAATGTGGTGCTATTTCATGTTTTGTTTGATGCATTAATTTGTTCGCAGGGGCGTGGGTGGAATTGGCCCTTGACGATTTTTTTAATCATCTTTTGTTTTTCTCTCCTCCTCTCCATTCCACCCCATCTTTGGCCTCTTTCTCCTCCCTCTTTCCCCTTTCCTTGCCCTCACCTCTTCTTCTCAAAGGGAGCAGTGTGCAATGACATAAAGCTTTGGGGTAACTCCGAGATTTCCAATGTCTGAACCAGTGGCGGGGGGTGGTGGTGGGTGTCACGTGTGTCCTCCTCCACGGCACTAAGAACGGGGCCGGGGCGCTCAAGGAGCCTTGGCTCCAAGAGGACCGGGAGTGTCCCCCACTGGCTTCCCGGCCCCACTGCTTTGCAGCGCTCTGTTTGAACATCATTGTCTTTGAGAAGGAAAAATCCAAGCCCATGACATGAGGATCGGATAACTGTGTACTCGATCCCATCAGGTAGGTCCGTTGGGTCTGGTTTCCGGTTTCCTTGCTCACGAGGAACACTGGTCTCCCAGAACTGCTAGGTGCTAGGTTGGAGTGAGATATGGGGGGCCCAGAAGTGGGGAGAACGCCCACCCTCCCCATTCCCAAAGTCTACACCTGTCTTAGGACCTGGTTCAGTTAGCTAAAACTCAGATGACTTCAAGTTACTTAAAATGTGGAGAGAAGGGGATGGTGGCGGGTCAGATAAACACAACAGGCTTCAAGTATTGCTACGGTTTTTCGTGATTCCTTAGTGTTACTCTTCCCAAATAGTTGCACTGCCTACTTTTTCAGGAATCGGTCAGAAATGATCGCGTAGAATCTACAACTCAAGAAAGAGCAGCCGTGAGGTACAACGTAGGACACGCATTGAGTTACAAAGTCCAGCACTTACCGTTAATTTAATAAAACTTTTTCTTTTAAGACCCAAATTGTGGCTTCAGGTTAATTAACATGAAATCCGATTTTGGATTTCTACATCTTGAAGTACGCATTTCTTCTTTTGACATAGGGCTGTCAGGCACCAGCTGTGTGTGTTCGCACGTGCGCGCAGTCCAGTTAGAAAACGTGAACGAGAAGTCACGTAGACATTTGTTCTCATAGATCCTTTAAGGAATGGAGAGGGTTCTGGAATCTCGATTGAAAAACTGCTGTTAGACATGTTCTATTCATACAGTGGAATACTATTCAGCAATAAAGTGGAATGAGATGTTGATACATATTACCACATGGATGAATCTCAAAAACATTATGCTGAGTAAAAGAAGCCAGGCGTAAGAGACCAACTATTGTCTGATTCCATTTATATTACATTTCCAGAATTAGCAAATGCACAGAGACAGAACATGGATTCCTGTTTGTCAGAGGCTGGAGGAAAGGGAGAGTGGATGGTGACTGCTAACGGGTACAAGGGATCCTTTCTGGAGCGATGGGAAGGTTTTAAAGTTACACTGTGGTGATGGTTACACAACTCAGAGCCATCGAACTGCACGCTTAACACAGGGGACTTGTATAGGTAAACTGTATCTCATGCTGTTTTTAAAAATCTGCCCCCCCTCCGAGCACCATTAGATGCTCACAGTTCTCCGGGGGGGGGGGGGGGGGGGAGGTATTTGATACCGGGACAGGAAGGCCTCAAAGTTATCAGAAACTGCTTGAAAGAGAATGGTGTCTGTTTTAAGAATGTGTTGGAAGACACCGAGCCGGTTGGAAGTGGAGAAAAAACCTGAGTGTCTTTCCTGGTGGGAAAGAGTAAACATCAGTATCTTCTCGGGGCGCAAACCCCCTGTTGGTTGCTACTTGTTGAGCACTTGCTGTAAGAGTGTCCCAGTGTCGCTCCCGGGCTCCTGACCCGACAGCCGGAATACGGGCCATCTAAGCGGCAGTGACAGCTGAGAGGAAAAATACAGGCTTCGTTTTTTTCCTCCCCCGAAACTTTTGGGGGCTAAATTCGTTTCAGAATTCAGAAGAGTTCGGGTTTGGGGAAAGTAACGAGGGGCACACCCCGTGTGCCTCCCGAAAGCGCCAGGCAGGCCTGGGCGCTCCCCGCAGATCCCACTCCTTCTGGGGAGCGCCCGGGCCTGGCAAACGGAGCCCGGGAACAGCGTCTTGTGCATTCGGGTCAGGTTTGGGCACCAAGTAAGCTCCGGTCGGTACCGGTTTTGTTCCCAGATGAGCTAGACAAAACCCCCAAATCCCACGTTTTCAGAGTTTTGGGGATTCTGGAACGGTATGAGGAGAAATGTAGTAACCCCACTGCTGGTGAGACTTCATGTGAGCAAGCAGGGTCTTGTCTGAGGGGGGAGAAAACAAAAGCATGCAACCTGCTTTCCAGAATCCTCTTCAAACATCCGCCAGTGGCCTTTACGCGCACATAGTTTGCCCTTCCTGCGTGTACTGACTGCAGGCGTGGGAACACACGCGCCTCTGGGGCACAACGCTGGGGACGTTTGGGGCTGGAGCCAGGGGACCAAACCCAGCCCTGTGAGCTCCTTCCCAGTTGCTTGGAGATTTTGTTGGCTCTTCAATCAACGCAGTTGCCATTCTGTACTTAGATCCCAAACCAGATGGTGTGAGGGAAAAAATAGAGAATTCCATATGGCTCTGGTGTGTTTGCCCCCCCCCTCCACTCCCCCCAGAGTTCTCAGTTTCTTTCCGGGGAGGGGGGGAAGGGCGGTGGGAAGAGGTTTCAAGAGAGGCCGAGCAGATCTTTGCCGAAGGAAAATGCCTCTCCCACCTATGCGGCCGTGACAGCAGTGACCACCCCCCGCCCCCGCTCCCCCGACTTGCAGGGAATCCAAGGCCGGTGGCCTCGGCCTGAGATGGTGGCGGAGGAAGGAATCGTTGGTGCTGCACCTGCCCTCGTCGCAATGTCGTGCTTAAGGTGGTGGCCCTGCTCGAGGTTGCTGTATGTCGCGAGGCGCAGGCCTCCCGCGTGGAGTCCACGGGAGGCTGGGCCCTCCGCACCAAGGGTGATCTCTGGACCAGCAGAATTGGCCTCACCTGGAAGCTTGTGACAAATGCAGAGTCTCAGGCCCCAACCCAAACCTGCTGACTCACAGTTTGCGTCTCAACGAGATTTCCAGATGGGTCCAACGCACAATAAGTTGAGAACCGCTAACTTAGAGGGAGGCCCGAGAGTAAGAAGGGAGGACTGGAAAGGACTTGAAGAAGCCATTTTTATCCTCCAGAGATCTAGAAGTCTCTTTCTCTTTGGAAAAGGCTGAGGATTGCTCCAGGGATTCACTCTCCCCCCCACCCGCTGTCTGGGGAGAGGCCTATGCGAGAGTTATCCCTCACTGAGGCACTGAGTCCTGGTTAGTTTGAAGGACAGTGACCTTGGAGTCTCTCTCTGGCTCGGCAGAGCCCGTGCCTCCTCTGGTTCCTTTGTTTAAAATCTTCATGAAGGATAGTGGGGGAGGGGCAGCGCAAGGGAGGAAGGTTTGTTTCCTTGTGGCAAAGAGAGGGTGAGGAGAACGTTAGTGCAAGCTCGGGAGAAACTCTCAAACGTCCCTCGTCGTGTTCTTTAATATAATCCAGTGACTTGCTGGATGCTGTTACTTAATCTGGGCTCTAAGCAGATGGACCAAGGATCGGACCCTTCACGCACCAGTCCATCCGTGGTTCAGCGTTCAGTGTGATAGCTCAGAAGCCCCAAAACCATCCCCTTTGCCAATCACCAGTCCCCTCTCTGCCCATCTGCCAAATCCGAACTGTTCCGATGCTTGCTTTGAGGTGGCCGTAGATCGTTCCAGAAGTCCAAAGAGCGCACCGGCTCCCACATGGACTACCCTGGATGGTGTGGGGCAACGCACGTGTGGGTTGAGCTGAGAGTCGAGAGCAGGAAGGCCGTGTGTTCACTGCTGTGATCAGGTCGCGACCGGGTTCTGGGTGGCTGCCCTGGTGTGACCCGGGAAGGCGAGCCCCCTCACAGCTCCAGCTTGTACCCCTCACGTGTTTTGGCTTAAACCAGGCTTCACGGGGGACACGGTGCCAGCGAATCACGGCCCAGGTTCACGTGGTAACGTTTCTGAAGGTTTTTGGGGTTTTGTTGTTGTTGTTGTTTGAGTTCTTTGCAGTTCGTTTTCTGCCATGGATCAGTCATTTCATTTTCAAATCACCTGCAGTCTTCACAAAGCATGCGCCATAGACAGCAGTTCACGATTTTATAGCTCATTTGCCAGACTATTATTCTGTCAGCCAAATATATATAATTTCTTGTTTATGAATGTTCATTTTTTATCAGCCACTTTGCTAGCATGTGATTAGCGCTTGATTATGTAAGAGCGGCTGCCATACTCAGAACTCCCTTTGCCTTTTGGTCTCGTGGCTGATCCGCTCAGCGCAGAGTAGGCAAACAGAGGAAGCAGAGGTGAAAAGCACATCGATCAGTATTGACGACCTGGAGCTTTCTATCAGACACAACATCTGGTTTTAGGGACACCAACTTGGATTATCCAAAGCAGCGGTTCTCAGTCTTTTAGAAATAGTGACACCTGGTCTTCTCTTCCGTTATGATACCCCTTGCGTGCTGTGTTTTCTCTTAGAGTTAATTGAAATGAATTGTGTTTCGAGACCTTTTGCCACCCTTAAGAGCTAACTGGAGACACTGTGAAGTAGGAGGCTCGAGTCTGCCCACCTCCCCAGGCTGTGTCCTTTCGGGCATCCCTCCTGTTCACTCACAAATAAGCCACACACACCCACGTGTTTCCATGTCTGTCAAAAGCTTATATAAAATGGCTTTTGTGCTAAGCAGAAAGCTCTATGTGTCGGAGAGTCATTTAGGTGGGATGAGGCTTTCTCTGAAGATTGTCATGCTTGCATTTTATCTGGAAACTTCTGGGGACAGTGCTTTCCCCCCGAGGAATAACTCTAGTGGTAAAACGTCAGGCTGGGGCAAGTAATGGGATCTGAATGAGCCTTTCTGT